ACTTTATTTTATTTTATCAAAAGTATTTCACTAAGAAATATGACTTTTTCTGTGTGAAAGACTTGTAATATTAACTGAAAGACTACCAAAAGACTGGACAAAAGATTACTATATAAAAATTCATTTTTAATACGTTACAAAATTATTTTGAGAATAAATGTGCCTTGAAAGATATTAGCATTAATTTAAAACCTTAAACTTTGAAATACTTCATAAGGTTAAAGATCTAATTATAGCATTTAAAAATATTTTTGAGAAATTTCAGGTATTACTTGGAATTCATGTCTCTAAACATAGTTAAATTAAAAACAGTTATCAAAATCAGTACAACCCTGTACAGATCAACCTTTTTATTACAAGTATACTTACTCTTTTACAAGTAATTGTTCTTTACAACACAGATTCTGAAGTCCCCAGTAACTTGGGTTGGTAGAATCACAAATATTTATAGACTCAGAAACCTTATGAAATGGCTTTATGTCATCACGCAAAAAATGTAATAATGGTAATGTTCGTATCCACATTTCTGGATGCAAAGAAGTCATCAAACTTTCCAAAGCTTCAACAACTTCCCTATAATTAAAATTTAAAAACAATAAAAGATAACACTTTTCAACACTAAAAATGCATTTCCAAAAGATACTAACATCCTCTCACATATTAGCTTTTCCAATTCAGTGCTGCCACCTATATGTGCAGTTTTCACTCACCACAAGCCATTTAACTCCAACCTATAATTATGCATTTCCACATGATATTGCTGCACTTTTGCATGCAAATGAGCATGTGAAATACCCTCCTAGCACAGCTGGCACCCTCTATACTGATTGTTCAATCATCACTTCAATATTAGGCAAGAAAAATGCACCAGAAGTGGGGAGGATAGATGACAAGCGTGAGAAGAGGTAAATATCTATCAGAAATACATTTTCAGTGTTAGAAATTTCTGATATGATACTTTACCTCCTCTCACATATTATCTAGAATCCCACAATGGAGTAGTAGGGACAGGTGCAAAAGTTACCTAGATGAGCTCCCTTCAGAAAGTGCCCAAAGAGAATCCATGGAGTGCAACATCCTATACAATGGAAAGGTAAAGGAGCACACCTATAGGAGACACCTCATTACCCATATTAATTATATGTGTCACTAAGTTGGGAAGAAAGCAAGCACAGTCTAGAATGTGGGTTGGAACACAGGCATGCCCAATGGTGTAGTGTTGCTACGGCATGTGAGACCATATATGGTGTATCAACTTCAGTCCAAAATCCAGAGAGCACTGGGTATTTTTATCCAGTCTGCATTAGGAAGAGTTCCCTACAATCTTCATGTCAATCCCAGGAAGCAAAATCGAAAAGGAAACTCCATTCTGCCAATTACATATATGCTGTATCTTTACACATCCATCTTACGTCATACGGAACTTGACATCTGGGCAATGATAGGAGGAAAAAAATAGAAACTGACTTCCAGGCAGTGGTAGAATATAGAAAAGCCAGTCTGAGAGGTGAACTGTACTTGGTGGGTCATCTCCAGTCCAAATCCAGTGTGATCAGAAAATTTTCATCTATTCTGTCATAGGAGAATTGTTTGCACTATATATACCAACAAAAAAACACTGTTTGACTCTCTACTGAGTGGAATTGTTCACTCTGGATGAAACCTCTATGGTCCACTATCCAGTGGATAATAACTGGTGATGGCAGTACGTCCTTATTCTATACGGAAAAAAGGGGAGGTAGAAGACCACGTACGTACGGGGTAGGTTACCGGGAAG